AAATTTTATTTGGCGCATAGACGATTCCTGTTGATATTGGTCAAAATCGGTTCAGATTTATATATAGATCCCATATATTTTTCTTTATTTACACTTTATTTTGCATTAAGTATTGAATAGATTCTAGAATGATGTATCCTGTTCTTGTCCAGTCATGTTTTTTTTTTAATTTCTAAAAAAAATGTTCAAACGCTTCAGAGTCTAAACGCAACCATAGAGTCTAGAGTCAGCGACAGTCGTTTGCCGTGTGTTTCTTATTGGCAACGGGAAATCGCGACGGCTGACGTTCGCGACTAGATGCTTGACGCTAGAATAGATTTTATTCATTTTTGCTCAGCGTCATACTCAAATTTGCTCTCTTGCTCTCAATTGAGTTGCCATATTTTAGGTAAAAATCAACAGTGCTACCAAATTTCAATGAGAATTTATATCAAAACATATGGCAGTGCTGTTAAAAAAACAAATATTTTCAAAGATTGTGGACGTTTTAATAATAAAATGGAAGAAAAATAAGGTTTTCAACAATTTTATCCAAGTTCCTTGACATTATTGTTTATTAAATAATAAATTCATTTTGGTTTGCACAACGTAAAATTTTCTGTCAGAAAATGAAAACAAATAATTGACATTTTGTGCCGCTAACGCCAACTTTTTCGTTTGGTTTTCACGCCGGCGAAAAAGTATGACGCTGACTCGTGACTCTCCGGTTGCGTTTAGACTCTCAGTCGTCAACAAAAGCTATGACGAAGAAATCTTCGACATCGTCGTCGTCACACATTGTTACGGAATACCAAAAATGTTTCAATAGTTATCGATAAATGTCGACAACGACATAGGGAATACCAATTTGCAAAAGACGACTCTCTTCGACGTCGTTTCGTGTCGACGACGACATACGGAATAGGGGTGAATATGTATGTTGCTGTATATGATTGTACCATGATGTTACCTTATATCATTAAACCATGCCTTTAACCCAAATATCTGTGTATTTGAATAAAAATATTCAATTTTGATTTCGTACAAAAAAATATCTCGTTATGTCCTACACATTACTAACATTTCGTTGTGAAAGACTAATTCAACAACATAACCCATTTTTACCGGTTACAAAAAACGTAATACAAAATTCTGCTTAGACATAAGACAGTCAGCTGTTCTTGAGTTAGCATACGATTTTGATCAAAAATTTAAAACCAATTTTCATATTCTTTGTTGTAGTTTAAGTACCAGACGCATTCATTACTCAAATGAAATGTCATTTAAACATTTATATCGCCCAAGAACGAACCCGCATTGAAATTGATAGAAATAATTTTGCAATAAGCATCACTGATGCTTCAACAAATATTCAAATCCATAGTACCTTTAAAATGGCACCACGATACTCTGTCTCAATTCAAACCGGTGGTAATGACCAATTTTTGTGTGCATTGCTTTATTGGGATGAGGAGAAATAAGATTTACATATATTCGCTGCCTGATTACAATATTTACATTTCACAGAACGAAATTCAGTCGAATTAAACTTGAACTTATCTTGTAATACAAAATAAGAATGTCAAGAAGACAGCAATTTTGTAGCAAAACGTTTTAATTATGACTGTCGCACGGAAAACAAACACAGCGATACCCATCACACCTGTATCCAGAACTAGCAACATTTTGACGTCATAACGAGTCAGGTCAAAAGAATGACAAACGATGTTTTCGAACTTTCGCTTTCAGATTTTTTAAAATATATTTTCAAGATGGCCTTTTTTTATTTTTCAACGAATGAAGCAATATAAAATGTTAGGTATGTAGATTAACTTTTAATCCTTTAGCTGCGGTCTTGAAATATCGACCCCTGAAGAAACACAACATTTTCGATATTTCTAAACCAAATACGATGTTTTATGCTTAGTAACCTTTAAAATCGGCTGCTCCAAAAATCGGCGAGTACGATTTTAATATTGATATTAAACATAATATTGCACATCGCACATATTTCAGGTTGGAGACTCTTCAAACTACATCAATTACAAAACTTTAACTCAATATTACATTTTAAAATCAACGAACCGAACTGCGAATGAAATAATTTTGTTACCCTGGTTATCGAGGCTAACAAAACTTTCACTTTCCAAAAAAGTGTGTTCTAATTTAACCAAATATTTGTAAGGTATATTTTCAATATTTATTTGTTTTTCTTATCCTAAAATGAAATTTACACTGAACGGGTAAATATATTATCCACTAAATGTGACAGCAATGTTCTATTCAATGGAAAATTTAATGTGTGTGGAAGACAAACACAGACATATCTCAGTAAATAACAAAGAACGACGACTCATGGACAACCTTTAAATTCCACATAAGAATCTATTATCTCGTAACTTTGCAAAACAAAATAACAAGTATTTACCTATTTTATAGCATCATAGATTTTCAAAATATATTTATGACATGGAATTTAGGATTTTAGATGTAATCTTCATAATCATATTTGAGCATCCGTGTTATAAATACATTTGGAGAATCTATGAAAGTGTGCGTCATCACTACGATGGCCCGATACCGTTTTCATGCAACATACTAATTTGATTTTTTTATTTTAATATTATTTAATTTGGGACTTTGCGATCATAGATTCAGAGGACCTGGGACTGATATCATTTCTGTGTATTATTGTAAGAAAATATCAATTGTTTGCAGTTAGAACATTTGAATATCCTTAAATCTTCAAACTGCATTTCATTGATTTTTAGCCACAAGTGTTAACGGTGGGCGCCAAATTATATACTTTTTTGTCGTAGACATCTATACATATATGAATATCGGAAATGACAGGCATATGATGTTTTATTTAAAACAAAAAAACGTTGATTGTAAATGTAGCATAACGGTATATAAACAATGGTATATTTCTTCCAAGTATATTCTTAAAGTAAAAGCACCATGTGATTTGTGTTGTGTTCATTCTGTCATTTTAACTATAAAAATCGGTCATTTACACCGGATCAAAATATTTGAGATACAGAATTTTAAGATTTTGCGAAATCTGGTAACAACCTGCAATGTAATGGAGAGTCAAGGGTTTAAGATATAAAAAGAAATTTTATGTCGGAGGAAGGTGAATTAATTGAAGAGCGCTCTAAAATAAATATCAAGTTGATATGAGATTCCCTCTAAAAGAGGTGTATAAAATTCGAGAACTATTTTGCATAAATCGTTAATTTCAGCCAATAAATTTCTTTACGAAACAACCAAAATACATAGCAGTAGCAGGGAGTGCAAAATGAACGCACAGACAAGAATAGCCGACGTTTTATATCATAAACACCTATGTTTTGAGAATATTATGAGTTTGTGTGACCCCAAGGGTTTGTAACCGAATACCGACTATATGAATCAATATAGCGGCCTCACCCGTGATTGCTGTAAGAGACGAAATGAATACACAATATGTAAAATAGGAGTAGAAGAACAAGAGGTTTGTAACCGAATACCGACTATATGAATCAATATAGCGGCCTCACCCGTGATTGCTGTAAGAGACAAAATTAATACACAATATGTAAAATAGGATTAGAAGAACACCAGAAATACTAACATCCTCATCCACAATATGGCTCATTGGAAAATTATTTTGGTTCACTATAATTCATATATCCAAGGAAATTTGTCATAAACTTGCAGAGTAAACTACAAGTTTCTAATCACAATTCATTTACAACATGTCGGTGGTGTAATAAAATGATTTGTTTTTCACATCTGTCTATCTTTAAATTGACTATATAAATAGAATAAATATTGCTTTGTATATTGCAATATCATTCCGTTATTTGTCTAAATTTCATATGTAGTTATTTTTATTAGCACAGTTAATTGCCAACTATGAAAATGTTTACTACTATTGAACCATGGTGTCCGTCCAGCCAAATTGTGGCTTAAATATGACACAAACAAATCTTAAATTAGAAATAATTTTACAGAAAACTATTTAAAATGCATTCTTTCAATACGAAATGTTGTGAGAGAATTTGGGAAATTAATTATTTTTATTGTTTGATGTTTAGATTTTTATCAAGGTGCCAAGTAAAAGTAAATTACAAAAGTAAATTACAACCTTTGTATCAAATCTCTGACTTACTACCTTTTTATTTACAAGGTTAAGAACATTTCCAAATATTGTCTTTTGCGGGATAGGTAACCGAAAGGAGAGTAACCGACAAATGTGGATAAAATTAGATAATCTCTTTGCATAATTTTATATATTTGCTTTTCTTCACATTTTGAATATTTTGTATGGTGGTACCAACAGAATTGGGCCGATAAGCTTGGAAGGAAGAAAAGACCTTAAATCTATATAGATTTTCCGACGGTCGTCTGTCTATTTGTTGAATCATGATAGAGATCTCAATATTAAAGATACAAAATTTTGTACAATACAAGTTTGGTGTAATTCGGCGAAGGAACCGTAGGGCCTTTATCAATAAATTTTTTCATATCTACAAACTCATAAAAATTAAGAGTCCCCTGGTCATTAGGATATACCGAGATTCCACTGTATTGCTAAATAATTGTTTTCGAGCATCGCCTATGCTCCCATCTGTGATGTATTTTGTTTTTAGCAAAAAAAAAAAAAAATAAAGCACGAAACGAAAGCACAAGTGTAAGCCAAAATGGTATATCTATCGAGATGACAGGTTTATCAGATGGAACAGTAACGCCGTAAGATTATCAGCTCCACAGGTGATAACACAGAAGTGAAAAACACTTCGCCGAATCAACTTGAATTTCTTCCGAATACGAATCGGTCGGTGCGCATTAGGCACAAGTGTCGTATATTATACGTATCTGCTACACGGCAGACGCTCATTTAATTGCCCAGCTTCGTGGATTGCAAACGTTTCTAAGATCAAGGACAAGAACGACAAATTGAAATAAAAAATTAATTGTAACGAAATTTTAAAAGAAATAGAAATCGCGGTTTTGTTAAATAAAACGAAAAAAAGATGCACATCCTACAAGTTTTCATAGTATCGGTTACAATATTCGCTGCCATTGCCAATTGTGACCAGCCTTCGTACCAGGTATCGCTGCATGTAAACCTTCATCCCAAAGGACCACCGATACATTTGTGCAACGGAGCAATAATTCAAAGTCGTGTTATTGTCACAACGGCTCAGTGTGTCTATTATAAATTCTCACCGAACAGCGCAGCAGTACCTTTGCCGCCATCAGCGTTGACCGTGATTGCGGGCAGTTCGACGGAATTTTACGATGAACTTACAGTCGGCATAAAGGATGTTTTGATAGCAAAAGATTTCAATTATACAACTGGGGAGAATGACTTGGCCTTACTTCGCCTAAGTAAAACATTGCCTCTGGATGTACGAGCAGACATGAGTTGGATAACCCTGGATGATGCTGTTAACTTTGAGGGACCATGTGTGGCTAATTATTATATACGAAATGTAAGTGTAAAATGACAAATATATGTACGTATAGTTTTTTTATTTCTATGAAATTCAATCATAGTATTAGTAGAAATGTTTCCAGTGTTTTGCCGCCGGATGGTATTTGCAATTTGTAGAAGTGGTTAACTTATCCTCAATGCAAATCGATATTGTGTTGTTTAATAATCACACCAATTTCGTTGTTTGAAGAAGTCGCCTATTCTGCGATCTTTTTATGCAGGGTAGTGGTAGTTGTTATTAAATGGCCCCATCCCCAGGATAGAATTACATTGCAAAATGTACAAATGTACATGTAGTGGTGGTGGCGGTGTCACCTCATTATTCTGTTGCGACGTCATCGTCATTATCTTCTAAGAAAACATTTTGATATATGCGGCGACAGTTACATGTCACATAATACAAATTTGTGACATTTTGTTATTAAATGCAGGAGATAAACCCCAAACAGAATAATTTAGAATACAAAGTATTCACCTATTCACCTAAATCCAAATTGTATAAAATTTAGTACCATAAGTACACATTTCCAAAACTATATTCATACTCCAATCCTAAACTCCAACAATAATCTTGATTCCAAATTTTGTATACATCAGTGCACACTCCAAGACGACCTTTTTATATCGACGCTATATCTCAACCTTGATTCACATTCCAAATTTAAAGTTTTTAGCTTTACGAAATTGTACCAAATTTCATACATTTTAATACTTTTCGGATAGCTATAATTCCAATTTCCATAAACCCCTTTGGTACATGTATTCTACACTCCATTAGTGACCCTCATTCTAAATTTTAAAGTTTTAGCTGTATCGGTTAACCAAATAAAAATACTAATACATTAGTACTTTTTAGCAGATAGATTCGAATTCCGATTGTTCCAATGGTTGTGATCATTTGTCGATTGATGATTTTTTAAGACATTGCCTGCCCAGATTTAATGCAACTAATCTAAATAGGATATTAATAAATTTTTCATAAAAAAAAATTTGGATATTCAGGATTCAGATGCCTTCAAATCTGAAATGGCTAAGGTCATTTCTTTAAATGTCGAAACATTTGAACTCTGAGGTTTGTTCTTCGGTATATAATTGCAAATCCAATGCAAAATTTTGATACTCATGTCCTGCAACACTATTTGTACACGCTAGTAATGACATTGTATGGGCCTCTAATTTTTAGAGGCACTTAAAAATTTGCTTAAAAAATTTAATCGTACTTATCCTTTATTTTGTTTTGCTTTTTTTTTCAGTCAATATCGACGGTCCCCAACTACATACAAACAGAGGAATTACCATTGCTCGACGTGAAGAAATGTCAAAGTCAAAATCTATACTCCCAAATTAGGAATTACGATATATGTTCCCTGTACATGATACCGCTGGGTTTAAGTTGTCAAGTAAGTTCAACATCACATACATACATATTTTACATTCGTTTTTATATTGAAACCTCCGTATGTTGACAGGCTCTTGGCACATTGGTATTTCATAACGGAGACAGAGGCACCGGTTTGGTTTGTGAAAATAAACTGGTCGGTCTGCTGTCAACTATCCTGCCAAAGGACAACTCAAGTGAATCGTATTGTTCCGATGGTCCAATAAATGCCTTCTACACTAACTTGGCACCACAACTAGGTTGGATTTTCGATGTCATATCAGACGAAGATTTAAAAATGTACGAAAACGGAGAATTTGTATCCTCGTTACCATACTCCGGTGAAAATGGCTCAATTGAAGAACCAAATTTGACAGGTAAGCCTTTAACCAACAATTGCACATTGCATTACAAATATGTATATTAAAATTGCGATTTGTTCCTATCACAGAGCCCGGTACGACATCTCCCCTGGTTGGTAACAATGTAACGAGTACGACTGAGTCAAACGATCTATCCAATGCGGCCTCCAGTTTTATCCATGCCTCTCTCACAGCCACGGTGGCAACATGTATCCTTGCAATACAATTCATGGGATACATATAAGGAGCCAACTGATTTTGATCTAATTAGACATAGATATATAACAAATACAAACATGATTATGCAAATAGATCCAGACTGTCTGCTTTTAGTCGGTTATAGTTAGTCATAGTTATTATCATTTAGGTGGAGGAGTAAAATGTTCGAAAATACAAACGTATGTCTTGTGATTATTTTAGACGATGAGCAAAAGCCTGAAGGGGCCTGACCTTCATTCTTGCCGAATCTTATCTTTGTTTCACTATGATTTTTGCAATTCGCCACCAAACTATATGCTGGCGTAATTATTGTTTTAATGGAGGCGTTTTTTTTTCATTTTGTTTTTTTTTTGGGAGGGAAGAGGAACCAAATAGAAATATTTATTTAATAACGGTATTTAACTGCGCATTGTGATACGTCATTACGCTGTGGTGACATCTTGAGTTATCACAAATGTCAAGTACGGTCATTTACACACATCATCAAATATGTATTTATTTATTCAACGAATAATATAAGTATAGAATCCTAAATGTTATAGTCTAGAATATGAAGTTAATTAAAAATTTTGTTAATACTAAAATTATTTGAATTTCGGTATATTAAAATTATTATTAATGTGCTCACGAGAATTATTAAAATCTACCAATAATATATAATGATGTTTTTTTTTTTTTTTTTGTTAATACATGTTATTTAACACTTATTTGGTACGTTGCACATTGGGGAAACTTACCCAAATGTTGCGCACAAGCCAAACAAATAGAATCGCGTTTTAACTACTTGAGGTTAGCATTAACCCCGTTCACTACATCCATGCCAAACAGACTGGGCTTAATAAATGCCGCATACCTAAATTGGGGTAATACCGATTTGTGGGTATTTGAATTGCACTTGGATAAATTCGTTCAGTGCCGAACCACTTGAGGTAGACTGTCAAAATTTGCTCACATATATTTTATATGAAAACAACTACTGGAATGGAAAATATAGTCTGATGTTTTGACATAGCCCCGATTTAAGGCATTTTTTAACAATTTTTTTATTTACAATCAAATTGACTATAATTTGGCTCTCAGATTTCTTCATAAAATTTGGTATAATTTTGCGTCAATTTTAATCAAATGTGGCACACATTTTCTCTCATCTTTATAGGGACGAAATTATGATATGTTCAAAATGGTATATCAATCGGACAATAACTGCAATATATATGAGTTTTACTCAGCATTAAAAACACAAACATACATACAGAACTTCTTAGAAATTACAAAAAACGTATTTGGTGTAACATTTAGATAAAATCGAAATCGATCGAAAATGTATATGGGAGGTACAATATCAACCAAAACCCTATATTTTTAAATTATATTTTTTATAAAAAAACCAAGTTATATAATTTGTATTTTTAATTTCTTATTATTTATTTAAAAAATAAAAATCTGGGGGACACTCGCACATCCTTTAAGCATACAGGATATTAAAGTATAATTTATTTCATTATTAATATTAACATTCTTTAAATTTTTAACGCAAAAGTCTTAACCCATCTGACTAGCAAAATATGCTTATGTCATGCTTATTTACTGAGTAGATTCCCTTCTCTGTGTACAATTTCGTGATGTTCGGGTCATAATTGTGGCCCCTAGATCTTCTAGACAAAACAAACAATAATAGTGTTTTTGATCCATTCAATCATTTCCAAAATCTATATCCTTTTTGGTCAGAACCAAATATACATCCAAAATTTCATTATGATTGGTCATTAAGTGCGGTATATACTTTGATTACAAAGTATAATGGACATATGGATGGACGGGGACACACATGCCTAGATCAAAAATGTGGGAAGAGGCTGGGACAGCAACAATGGCGTACTTTTTTTTACAAATTGTTGTCCTTTCACTCTTTTGTTTGTGAAATTAGAATCTCTGTTACCCTATCTAAAGAACATAATGATAAACTGTTTTAAACCATTTACACAAAGCTGAATTCAAAAAGAAGCTCGATATTTGGTTGCCACACCAACTTACAGAAAAAATAGAGAATTTCCATATGCGAAGCCTTGGCCAAACGGAATGAGACACACCCATTTCTTAAACGGATGGTGACTGGAGATGAGAAATGGATCACATACGATAACCCTGTACGAAAACGGTAGTGGTGAAAGAGCGATGAAGCACCTCAAACGGTGGCCAAAGCAGGACTAAGGGCCATGAAGGTTCTGCTACACATTTGGTGGAACTGGAAGGGGATTATTTATTACGAAATGCCTCCATATGGTCAAACGCTAATTCTTATCTCTACTGTCAACAATTGACCGTTTGAAGATAGCAATTGACAAGAAACGACCAGAATTGGCCAAAAGGAAAGGTGTCGTGTTCCACCAGACAACGCTAGGCCAGAACTTCGGACTTGTCACCAAGCGATTATCATATTTTTCTTGCATTGCAAAATTTCTTTAATGATAAACAAATTGGTAACGGATCCTCAACCTCGCCAGTGTTTACACCCCTACTCATTATCTGGGAGGACTCACCTTGCTTCGGAGACACCAGGATAGCTATCGTGTTCGTCACCGTAGTTCTGATCACTGTAGTTTCCATGATGTCTTCCTCGTCTGACAAGCGTGAGTCATTCCAGAGTTGGGTCGCGATGCTCTCCTGACTACGGCGGAAGGAGCCGGTTTATTCTAATAAGTTGAGGAGACGATCCGTCTGCCTCTCCAGGATTTCGTTCACGTCGTCGAGAGTAACAGGATATAAGGTATAAGAGAGGTTCAGGGGTTTAGATTGGGTCGTCAACATTTGTGGGTGCCAAGGCAGCCACACCAGCATCAGTCAAAAAAATCACATACCATGTTGTTTTTAGAAGGGGGTCATTAAAATTCGGCTCCATAGGAAGTTCTCATTAAAATTCGGCTCCATAGAAAGTGCTTTTGGTGAGACATTAAGGTCGACTATGGCATAGCCCTTACCATGGCAAGGACTTGGCTCCGTTCTAATACAGTCGAGACCCTGACTGCAAACCATAGAACGCTGATGGGCACGAGGTCGCGTGACACCCCAGCGTTAGGGGGTCACTTTAAGAGATGTTTGAGATGTTTATTAAAGGGCGTCATTCTCGCCTCGTCAGCTGAGGGATCATAGGCACTCGGTCATTTCCTTCGAGGCTCTCCACCTGAGCGACTGTTTATTTATTATTCACAGTATTGGGCTTCCCACTATCCGCTACCCGTGGACGCGTCCGTTCGCATTCAGCTCTGCTCCCCGAAGGCGAATAAAGCCCTATAGCTCATTAGTCCAAATGCGTCAGATAAGGCTGGGTTTTTGGAAATTCGTACTAGAACGGAACGAAAAGTTCCACCTAGAACCCTTAAATTTGAAATGAGGGTCACTGATGGAGTTACTGACATACTGATTACTGACTGAATTAACGATTCATCAACTCCCAGACGAAACGGCTGGAGCTCGAATCTTGGAATTTTGGGTGAGGGTCACTCTTAGTCCAAATGCGTCAGATAAGGCAGGGTTTTTGGAAATTCGTACTGGAACGGAACGAAAATTACTAAAAAAACCCTTAAATTTGAAATGAGGGTCACTGATGGAGTGTAGAATAGATTTAGCATTTTTTTTTTTTTTTTTTGAAATTGGATCTATATGTATCCGAAAAGTATTAAAATGTACTAATTTTGGTACAATTTCGTAAAGAACTAAAAAATAGATATTTGGTATGCGAATTAAGGTTGAGCTGTAGGGTCGATATTAGGAGGTGGTTTTGGAGGTCTGTAGTCATGTATACGAAAAGTACTAAACTGTACTAAATACAATTTGGTACAATTTGAATTTGGAGAAACAGATGGAGCTGGAATCCTGAATGAATAATAAATTTGAGGTTAGGATCACTGTTGAGGTGTAGGATTGGAGTATGTAGGAAGTTTTGGAAATTTCTACTAATGTGTACTAAATGATACAAAATTTGATACAATTTGGAATTAGGTGAAATTATAGAGCTCAAATTTGAAAATTGGAGTATAGGATTGGGGGAAATTTGTATGTGTGGTATGTGTGTATAGAGCTAGAATCCTAAAATTTTGAGTTATTATCACTGTTGGGGTGTTGGATTTGGGATAAATAGGAAGTTTTGGAAATGTTTACTAATTTGTACTAAATGGTTTAAGGGGACCCCCCACCCCCCATTCTCGGGGTCAAAATTTTTGTTGATATAATTCGAATCTACACTGATTAAAGAATGTCTCTACAAAATTTCAAGTGAAAATCTCAAGAACTCTTGAAGATATAGCCGATTTATTGCGTCAGCATCAAGTGACGGCTGAAGGGCTTCTCAAACTTTAAACGCGTTTTTCTCTAAACATTTTTTTGCGAATGGCGGGCACGATAACTCAAAAACTAATAATCCAATCGGTTCCAAATTTTGCAACGTTTCTCTGGGAGTGTATAGCTCTCGTATGAACTAGGATAAAGCCAATCGGTGAAGATCTTCCTTATTTTTTAACTTGGTTTTTTTGTAAAAAATCGGCGATTTTCCAAAAATATTTTTTTCAAAGGTGCACCATATTGATAATATTAGAGCGAAGTCAATTATCCTAGTTCATACGAGAGCCAGACATGTACTCATTCTAACACCGTTGGAATTTTCGGATTCCGATGTTCCAGTGAGGAGTTATCATGCCCGCCATCAAAAATAAGGACTTTTCTTAAATTACAAAAAACAACAACAAAACAATAACAAACATTTTTTGTAAATTATTTTTCTTCTCTTTTAAATCTTCAATTATATATGTGCAAAGTTACAAACCTTAACATGCATTTGTATTCATTTACCAGCCCATTGAAAATCTTGAAAAATTAAAATCGAGAATGGGAGGGGTTCCCTTAAAATTTGGTACAATTTGGAATAACAATCTACTAAATTACAAACAATCAGGTTGAAAAACGTTTCCAACATCCCCAAAATACCGAATATTATGGAGTACTGGAGTACTGCAGTAATACTGGCAATGC